TCGAGTAAACAAATTGTGCATAAAGAGCTAGTAAATTCAACCAAACAAACTTCTTGCAGAACTTCCTCCACAACTGCTGCAAATCTGAAATAAATTATCCTAGTTTGTGCGATAAATTCAGAATAAAGTGTATGACACATTGTTAAAGCATATAATGCGTGATTCACTATCGGTCGGATCACGATCATATCATGGTTAGATAATAGACCAGTCATATATGGTTTCTATTAAATTTTATGCTTTTTTGATTTTGCATTCACGCTGTCGGTCACAGTCAAGACAAGTTGTTCTTCGTCACCCAAAAGTTAAGCGATTTTAATGAGCGAAAATATGGATAATATTTAAAAATTTTATCTTTATATGAATGTTTCTGCAGAGACTGAGCGACGGAAGACCGTCACATGGTAAAAGAGTGTGAATTTCGCCAAAAATCCATGTCCGTTAATTGACTGTGAATTGATCGTGTTAGGACTGCATAGTGGGTTTCGGCCTTAACTGCACATTCAGTGCGACACAGTAAAAATATGCAACGTAAATTACAGGTCGGGTGAATAATGATTATCGTACTGATTGCCAACGCGTTGCATGACACGCAATGCCACGGCTTATAGATTGTACAATGTAGAGTACTGGAGGTTCGTTGAGATCACCTGTTGCGTTTTTGTTCTTTGTTTTACATTCTTTATGAGACGAAACATTAATAATCAAGCAAATTACATAGAAATAATGCAACTAGAAAACTTTTTGATATCAAAATCGCCAATTAGCATTATTTTAAATTACAATTAACAAAATTCAAACACATAACACGAAGAAATATATTTAATAGACGATAAAATGCGCTTTATTGCTTAAATATAAACAATCATTTAAACTGGTATAAATGGTTTTATCCCATTTAAATATTGGAAAAAATTACCTCATTATTTGTATGTGACTCTTCACGATGGCGGCAATGCGTTGTTGCACGTCTGGAATTTGCTGAAAGTTTGTACCGTCTAAGAGATCTTCTAGGCGAGATAAAACTACTTGAATCTGGCCACAGGCATGAATAGCAAATATTGCTGCCAACCCACAGGTCCCGACTGTGATCGTGGCTATAATATATCCGCACATACAATGGACCATAAATACTATTTCGTATGTCGGACTTATCTGGCACTGTATAAATTCACTGTAAACGGGATACACAAGCGGTTTGATGGTTTCATTACCGAGTTTATGCTCGGTGAAAAATGGCAGGATCATGTGATAACTGAAGACGGCAGAATACGTGACAATCATGCAGATTAAAAATAGATTACGACCGATACCAGCGTACTTCAGCATGTGTTCGCGGTCAGACTTGGACTTCACCTGTCACAATATATGTTCCAGTAATGCTATTTATATCGAAAAACAAACAGCACTAACCGCTACTGATCATATATTATAAGATGGATAAAATAATTTTGTAACGATTTTGCTAGAGGTTTGTTATAATACCTGGAATGTATAAACAAGACGATTTTCGAGGACTATGCCTCTGTGCAATTTTTAAGATTAAGAAAATAATTGTAAAAATTACAATTAGCGCGGATTACCAGTGAAACATCCTGGCATAAAGTTAATTGCAAAAATGTGGATTGTTTGAATGACAGTAGAAATAATATAGCGGAATTACAATTGCATAAAATAAACTGACGTTTATAAAGGTACATAAACTCCATATATATATATATGGAGTATCTGTACCTTTATAAACGTCAGTTATATATTCCTCCAATGAATAGAAAACCGATCATTTAAAAATCACGTTAAACGACTTCACAAACCACATGATTTTTTACGATAAAAAGCACTGTCACTCCACAGCATTTCATAAAGAACACGTGTCTGCTGCTTTGGGAACTTTTATTTTACGCATAACTAACACCAACCTGCCACCAATCATCTTTCACATACTCGATACACTTTCGTATTTTTGGACGACGTATCACGAGAACGAAGAACTTTATCATCGCCGTGCCGCAGAAGCCCAAGAGTCCGAAGAGTTTGAGCCTTATGATGAGGTCCTTCTGGTCGTAAATAATATGTAAGGCGCAGGGCACCATCGCGAAGCTTAGTACGAAATTACAGATGACGATAGAGATTTTAGAGATGTGTTGTTTAATGCCTCGGAACGCGATCGGCCAGATGCCGATCGAGCTGAGAATCCAGTTGCTGAGCGTAAAGATGTATCGTACATCTCGCTGGTAACACGCGTTCAACGATGTCGCTTGTCCATCGCGTGAGATCTCCATGTTCGCGATGAGAGATTTCGCTGAAGACTGTACGACGCGGAAACGCAGCATTGATTACAAGGTTGCCGGACATGCGCTGACGTTGCAGCTATATTTTCGCCTAACGGACAGATTGTCTGAGCATGTGGATATTATTACCCGGTGGTAGTTCTTGTGTAGAGCGTGCCTTCTCTAGATTAAATCAACATTGTCGCTCTTTCTTGTAAATTGATCTTGTCACGTTCGAACAATTTCAAATAGAGATGCATTTGAGAATTGAAACAGGTCAAAATATATTTGATGAATTTGAGAAGTGAAAGTTGACGTAATGTTTTTCAAAGTGTAATTTTGATGCATATTTGATTGAAAAATAGGATTACAAAAAGAACACCATCTCACATTTCCAAAAGTTGTCAAAGATAAATCCATCATTCTATCAGCACTGATTTTTACGGGACGGCTGGACATGGCGATTATCAATATAAGATCGCGAGATGATCGTGGTGGCAGTTGGTACCA